CATCCCCATCAGCGGAGGGCATCTCATCCTCCCCGTGGCCACCCTCTGTGTCCTGCTGCCACGCCCTCCGGATCTGATTGTGTAGCTGACTCTCCAATCCCTGAGAGTCCTGCTGCCCTTGGTGCCCATGAATGGGCCGACCAAGCCCAGGTGGCAGCATCTCCCCAACCCATGTCCCCTGGCCCGACCTCACTTCCAGGAGACGACCAAGAGCCCAGCACCCACCCTGCTCTGGCTGCCATGTGGTGGCCTCAAGTCATGCTTGCCCTTTTTGCACCCTGGTTGAGGAGGCGTTCAGGGGAACCTCCAGCCAGGCTCCAGGGGATGTTCCTGACCCACCTCCCCAGGGCAAAGGCTGCATGGTGGGTCACCAGATGGGAGGGTGGGAGGCCTTGAGGTTTGGGGTCCTCTCCAGCTGCCCAGCTCTTCCTGCTGATGGCTCCACATCTTGGGGGAAGGCTCTGATTTCTTGATGGGCTTGGGGCTTCTCAGGATTCCACAGCCCAAACGGCGGGACAGTCCAGGGCCTCCAAGACCATCAGGAGCATGTGGTCCCCACGTCACAACACAAGACCAGGTGGCATCTGGTGAGTTTATGGCGTCTGGTGAGCAAGCTTGGGCTCTTCCCCAGAGACTCTGCCTCCCGTGGCGCTGGAGGAACAGGGACTGGAGCCCCTGGTGGGGCTGGTGACTGGATGAGTCCAGCCAGGGCCTGACCTGGGACGTCGGGTTCTCCATGGGCTGGGAGTTGGATTCCTTTCCTGCCCTGGAGGAGAGAAAGGCACAGGGATGGGGGCCCAGCTCCCGCAGAGCAGGGCAAAGGGCAGTGTGTCCACCGGGAGTGTGGGAAGGGGCCGGTGTTGTGTGGAGCCCTGGACACCGCCCAGTGTTCTGCACTAGGGGAAGGGTCTTCAGAGGCCCTGCAAGAGGGAGGTTTTTAGGGCAGCCCAGGGGGCCCTGAGCACCTCTGTTCCTCCCATCAGGACAAGGAAGGTCTTTGCGCACAGGATTCCTCCTTAGGCTGGCTTCTCCAGATGTTGAATGACGGGGTAAGAAGGCACAGGGAGACCCTGGCTCAGGGACCCTCCTTGCCCTGCAGTGCCCTGCTTCCCCAGCCTGGGGGTCTGGCTCAGCCACAGCCCACAGGAGGCTCCGCCCACAGGAGGGCCCTCACAGGACACCCAAACAAAACCCTCTGCCCAAGAGGGTTCATCCCAGGGCAATGACTGGGGCTCAGGACCAGCCTTATAGGCAGATTGGGACAAGAGCTGACTTGGGAGGGATCAGGGAAGCCTCAAGCCCTGGGCAAGTCCCTCTCTCCAGGAGCCACACCTCCACTCCAATGAGTGCCCCCCATGAGGAGCTGCAAGACCTTGTCTGACTCAGCGTCCTGGAGGGCTCAGGAAACCCTCATGGGGAAGGTTACTGACTCTGGGGACTGAAGCCCCAGTGGGCTCCGTTCGAGCTACCAGCCCCAGCCTAGAAGGGCTACAGTCTCCCACACCTGCTATCCCCACAGATCTCTCTTGGGCTCATCCTGCGCCTGTGGGACGTGTATTTGCTGGAAGGAGAACAGGTGTTGATGCCGATGACAAGCATTGCCTTTCAAGTTCAGAGGAGTAAGTCTACGTGTGCCCAGTGGGGCCTGGGGAGCCCTGGGGTCAGACGCTGACTTACCCGAGGGCAGCTTCCTCACACTGTCCTCATGATCCTCTGTTCTGGCCCAGAGGGAGGTCTGGCCAGGTGGCCTGGGCAGGGCACAGTGACACCGAGCCCATCCCCCACATGACCCAGATAAATGTTGTGAGCACTTCCCTACCAACTTCCCCCGGCCACAGTCTCCTGTGCACATCCAAACCCCTGGGGTGGCCACAAAAGATTTCCGCATCGCCTAGTGGGAGACGGAAGTGGCCACGGGGTATCAGCTGTGCCCCCTCCCAGGGAACTGTCCTGGCCTGATGTCCACCCTGTCCCTAGAGCGCCTCATGAAGACATCCAGGTCTGGCCTGTGGGCACGGTTTCGGAACCAGTTCTTCCACACCTGGGAGTTGAATGATGACTCTGTGCTCAAGCATCTTAGAGCCTCTACGAAGAAACTAACAAGGAAGCAAGGGGACCTGCCACCCCCAAGTGAGCTCCAGTGCCATGTCCCCCCCATGTCACCCTCTGGGGCAGTCAATAGTAGGGGAGTGCCCGAGACCTGCAATCCTACTACCTGGGCCTTCCTCTTCACCTTTTCCTCCTCCTCTTCCTCCTGAACTCTAAGAAAGTACAGGAGGCCCACCGGTCCTCACGGCAGGCGCTCAGTGCGTGTGTACTGGATGTGTTGTGCCCGCAGGAGGGCGATGTGGGGGAAGACCTTCCCAACAAGCCCCCTCCAACATTCCACAGTTGCTCTGCTGTCTCCCCATCACAGGGCCTCAAGGCCACTAAAGGAGCCAGACCCATTTGTGGCGAAACCCCGGCTCCTCCCTGCAAGCACCCACAGGGCCTCAGAGAGCAGCAGAGGCCCACTCACTGCTGCGGTCACGCTCCTCCAGGGTTGGCAGCAAACAAGCTCTTGCAGCAGGGACAAGGGAATGGGTGTCCTGACCCCAGAGCAATTCAGGGAGAGGGCACAGTGCAGCACTCCAGGCGAGAGCCAGAGCCAAGAATTCAGCCAGATGGTGGGAAACGGTCAGTCCTGACATGGACTGGCAGCCCAGGAAGGGAGAGGGTGGGGACCCCACGTCCAGGGTCCAATCACCCCACTGGTGGAGATGGATCCCCATGTGGGTGACAAGGGGCTGGGGTGACATCCAAGTCCCCCCCACCTGAGTTCTCACTTGGGGGGCTGTATCCCTGGCCAACCAGCCCTGGGACGAGGGTGTGTGGTAGGGAATCCCCAGGCCAGTCCGAACCCTGGGGGGCAGTCCTAGGGCTACCTGCATGCCTGACAGCTTCCGCTTGCCAGGCAGCAACACACCCTCCTCTGGGGATCAGCAGACTACAGGCGTGTCCTCCAGTGTCAGACACGGGGGCTCCACACAGGACCCTGAGACTCCAGAGACCCCAGACAAGTTGGGGCCTGGCCGCGGGAAAGAGGCCTACATGGGCTCAGTGGAGACGCTGACCACGTCTGTTTTCCTTCAGCCCCAAACCTGAGCAAGGGTCCTCGGCACCTAGACCTGTGCTGGCTTCACAGGTGGGCAGGGACGACCCTCTGCAAGGGGACAGCAAGGCCCCTCCAGGCCCACCAACCCCGGTTCCAGCGGCACCATTTGGTTAGTTTCCCCACCATGGGCACCTTGTTCTTCCACATCTTGTCCTGGTGTGACTGTCCGGGTGAAGACATCTACCTCTGGGCACTCAGGATATGCCCAGCCCGGTCCACGGGGCAGGGGAGACCTCAGGTTCCTGGAGATTCCTGGAGTGGAACTCGATGCTCCAGCTCCCGACGACCTGGATGTAGGGGGGCCCCCACTTGGTTCCCCCATTATGATTTCGAACAGAGGCTGTGGGTCCGTGTTCCCTTCTGAATGTGTCCTGGACAGCCGGACTGGGTGGGACAGGGCAGCTCCAGAAGCCCGCGGGAACCCTGAACCATGGCCCTGCCCAGGCCATCAGACTGAGGGAGGCCAGGGAGATATCCCACTACAACCAGGGCACCCCCGGTCTACGGACAGAGACTTGGCCCCAATTCTACAATGGCACCGTATCCCAGGAAGACCAGCTGGCCACCTGCTGGGCAAGGCTGGGAACCCCCTGCGGGGGGGTTGAGGATTGGGCTTTCACTTGCACGAGCCACAATGTGGACGTGGACTTCCAGCCCTGCACTGCACCCAGCACTGATTCAACCAGGGACACCTACATAACAGCTAGGGACGAGCAGCAGCGGCGCTCCCACCTCAGAGCCTTGCCTCTGCCACCTCTACTTGTGAAAATTCTATATTTCCCTTCCAGGCTTTCTAGAAGCATCTGGGCGCAGGGCTTCTATGGACTGGATAACTTCCTGAGGCTTACAACCCAAGCAAACTTCACGTTCTCGTTTTATTTTTTGGGTAAACTTATGAAAAATTTATTAAGAAAGTGTGCGCTCGAAGACCTTCACAGATGGAACACCCACCAGCCCACAGACACGAAAAGTCAACATGTCCAGCCCTCCCCGCCACCCCAGCCCGAGCCCAGCGAAAATTCTGACGACACCGTGTGCCTGCCTTTGTATTTTCAACTCATAGACGATTAACCCCCTTCATGTTTTAAAATAAATGTTTTCTGTTGAAATTATTTTAGATATAAAAGATTGAAAAGGCACTACAGTGGCGTCCTATACCTTCCATCCAGCTGCCCCTAATAATGACGTTTTGCAGGTCCATGGCACATAAGAAATTTAGACTGGGTGTGGTGGCTCACACCTGTAATCCCAGCAATTTGAGAGGTCGAGGCAGGACGTTCAGGTTCACTTTAATCTAGAAGTCTGGGACCAGCCTGGGAAACACAGGTGGACCCTGTCTCTAGAGAAAAGTCAAAGAAATTAGCCTGGCATGGTGGCGTGTGCCTATG